AAAATTTGCCCACGACTTACAGCAAATGAATCAAGCGACAGGACGAAAATGGACCGCAAAGATGCTGGTTGGCCAAGAAACAGAGCATCAAATGGAACGTCAAAAATGGCTTCGATGATGGTCAGTTGGCTTTCCAGCGGTGCTAGTAGACCTTACCCCTGACAAATCGTTCTAGCCTTAGAAGCTGGTCGAGGAAACGATAGGTAAAAAGTTGTATTCGGGTTAAGCTGACTACTTCGATTCCTTCAATGAGAGAGTGGTGGTGTTGCTGCCGGGAATTCGTACCCTCTCATGGCACTTTAGTCAATGGCGCGTGCAAACAAGTACCCGAGGGTACGGGTCAATCCTATTCACAAATCACGGTGATAGCACCTCAAAAGCGATGGTCATGTAACAGAAACTGTTCTAGAGGGTTGAAGCGTGCTCCAAAGATTGGTAAAAAATAATTTTGATTTAGCCATTCCCCTCTTTTCGATGTGCGCATTTGTCATTGCTATTATAACCCATCTAGTGCATCGTAAGGGTAGGTCTAAATAAGGGCAAAATCTCTCACTATTTGTAGTTTGAATGATGAAGTTATAATGTCTGGAACTAACCCCTAATGCTGATGTGATAGGGTAAATCAGCGTGCAAATATGTTGATTTACCCTAGCAGAAAATGCATGACTTGATGTACGCTATTGCTTAAATCTTAAAACGAACAACCGTCGCAACATTTACCAAGTAAAACGGAAGAGTTATAGCATGCATGGATAATAAGCAAAACGCGGGGCACAAATGATATATTTCACATGATAAATCAAAGCACATCATTGGGCATCATCCATAACTTCCATGATAGCCATTTTAAGCCTCTCCACACAAGCTTTCCAGCTTACGATCCAAAAGTGCAGAGTCAAAAACCATTCCTCAAAAAGGAAGATGAATGAGTTGGGAACGATAAATTCGGTTTTTAACTGATAAATCGAACACTTCATCGGTTACTGAATTGCCTCATATTGAGAACCGGAACAGGTAAAGTACGGAAAGCAGCAACCCTTACATGTTTGAGGAAGAGTGGGATAAAGTCAACGTAAAGGAGTTGCTTACCCATATGCAGAAGACGTACACGAATGATTCATTTACATTCCCAAATAACCCCGAAGTAAGGCGTTAAAGCACATTCAGAAGGTTTGTCATAGTCACTATCCAAGAAGAGATTAAGACTAATATATCTATGTGAGCATTTTGGCACCTTACATGAATGCAAGGAATGATACAACATGGTGGATTTTGAGCCTACCAAAGTTAAATTTAGTGTACAGGATGTGAAAAATTTAGTGAAAAAGGCGGAGCAGTGAGATTGGAGCATATTTTGTAATCCGAAAATGTGACCAATGAATTAAAGCGGAAATTGTGAGATTTTAACGAAATAAGAACATCTCGGGATCGCATTACACAAAAGATGTTGAACTCACCAAGAGTGGGATTGCTGATCATCATGGGTCCACTGATAGCCGGTCGTTTGAGTTTGCCGGTTGCATCGAGACGCGCTTTTATAGGAGGTATTTGATGCTGGTGAGGCGGCTGTTCGAGGGAGAGAGCGGAGGGTGCTTTCTCTGACGCTGCCTGCATGGGTCGGCGAGTAAGTGAAGCGCTGGACTTGCGGAAGGCACGAGTCAGGGTGTTCGTGGCGTTCACGAAGACCCCGCCGCCACCACCGCCTCCAAACCCACCAATCTCCCCTACTCTGTCCCGCCTTAATGGACTGTTATCGATCAGGGAGGTGCGGGAGCTCCGACGCACACCGTTTGTGGAGTTGTAGAGGGTCGGTGAAGATTCCTTGCATCGCTCACTAAGGCTTGAGTGAAGGAGAGAAATCAACACTGAGGAATTGCATTTAACTAAGAGGAGAGATGAAAATTAGGGCCCTTGAAAAAATTGAATGGAAAGATGTTATTTATTTGAAAGAGGAAACAGTGAAGCGAGTTTATAGTTTTGCTCAGAGATCCAAAAAGGAATACTTGAGAACGCCTGGTGCCTCAGAACCACAAATCAAGGGAAATAGTTGACAAAGTAGTGATGATGCCTATCTAACAAAGGAAAAAACACATCAAACCTATCTATATGGACTATTGGTGGGTAAACTATTCAAAAGTATTTAAGTGAAAAAAATATATGGATCGGAGGTAAAGGCTCTTTGAAAGCGTGGATTTGGTACTAAGGGTCAAGATGGAGTGCTAAAGGAAGAAGAGCAATAAAAAAGACCATTTTCAAGTTGGTGCGGAGTAGCTACTTCTAAAAGCAGTTAAAAGCTAATTTTCAGGCGACAAGGCCTTCCTTCCATTTCATCTCCTCATCTCCGATCTTGTTTCAAATTTCCGAGACGAGGCTAGATCCATTTTTCTACAGCAAGGCTATTAATTTTCATTAGCATTTGTAATAAATCCAAAATTCTTGCAGGAATCGTGGATGCTGATGGGTCAGCAATTCATTTGAAGCGGCAGAAAAGTAGGAATAATCTCTCATACAGAGAAGTTCGCATTACACTTGAATTAGCTTGATTCACTTCCAGAAATATATTTAGGAAAAGATTTTGCGTGAGAAAAGTGATTCCCAAAATTAATACCCTGCGCCTTTCTCAGGACAGAAATTCAGATATAAAGATAAGCCTAGGTTGCAATACCATGAAAAGGGCATATTAGTGAGAGACATAATCTAAAGGAAAAGAAAACAGGACCCTTGGTCCCTATCTCGAGTAAACAGTCATAAGTCGCATAGAACTAGACTTTCATAAGAGTCCGTTTAAAAGCGGTCCAATGGCTATATTCATTAGTTTCAAGTACAAGCAATTCACTGTGCAGAAACTCGGAGGATGCAGTTAGTGGAGTCAGATGATGAAAAAAACCACCAGCAGAGTCAAAGGTGGTTATCGATGACACATGCTTTTATTTCCAGTGAAATAAACAAAGAAACCACGGCTGGATTATAGGGGTTTGAAGACCATGCAAAACTGCGCGATGGCTGACGATGCCAACAAGTGGGGCTGGGAAACTCACGGAAAGTAGTGTCGAATAAGGGTTGAACTTCGTCCTGGTCCCATATACCACCTTGGCAAAGTAAAGAAGATTAAAAAACCCATTCAACCTACCCTTTTGTAGTCTTGTGAATAGAGTATTTAAACCCTTTGGAAAGATTAAAATGCTTTGTGACGATCTTGTTTAACTACTTCAGCTTAGTAGTTGAGATAACCTATTCCGCAAATTATTCGCATATGGAGCATGATAGGAGGTAAGGCTTACCCATTCGGTTGATCAAGGCTGAGGCGTTTTATAGATGTAGGATTAACAGTGGTATTGTGGTAAGACTCCTCAAAGGGAGACGCTTCACTACTTAGGGAAGGTTTGGCTATCATCAGAGGGGGAGGAGACGCAGAAACCACCTCCTCAGGTGGGAGTGATGCCGCATCCCTCCGCGGAAATACAAGAGATGGTGAGGGTGGCGGCAGTTTGGTCACTTCTGACACAACAGGATTTGACTGATGCATCTCATTCGTCGACGAGATCGTGTCCAGCAGAGCCAGCCCATCGGTTTTTGCCGAGAGGCACTGAAAGATCTCGTCCATGAATGAGGAGCCCATATCGAGAATCTGGAAAAAAGGAGCCGTTAATTTAACGATTTAACCGAATATCTTGCATCGACATTACATAAAAGGTCACGCACAGGGGTTAGTCATCATAAACACGGCTTTTTAAGACATCAAGAGGCTAAATGATGGCTAGCCACCAATTCTAGGAATGTAAAAAGGACTAAACGGGGACTTCTACACCATTTGAAAAAAGGCTGTAACTGAGATGGGTATGTCAGTAAATCAGTCCAGATTCATGCATTTTTTGGCATCAAGAGTCAAGAAGAAGAGACTGTGACGAGGATAACTTACCGAGGGTTCAGGATCTTCGCTATCTGTGGTGGTGGTGAACCAAGGGGAAGAGGAGGTGGCGGCGGTTTCCCTGGCAATTGGCGGATAGGCAGAAGTAGGGTTTGTGTTGGTGGCGCTGGGAATTCGACTATTTTCAGAAGGAGAACTTAAGGGCGGGGGTGAACCGGTGGCAGTGGTGGTGGCGGTGGCAACATTCCGAGGTGGAATCACCTTGGCCCGATCAAAGGTGACAGAAGAATTACGACCAGTACGCTGATTGGTGAAGAAGTGTTTCAAAGCGAACTTCATTAACGAATCAGTAGCGTTACCCCTATCTTCATCCACTCGCAAATCCAAAAAAATTGACAATTCTAAAGAATCACCAGCATGTTCATTGGGATAAAGGCCTTTAAGCGGCACCTCTGTGTGAATTTCAAAAAAAGGTAGTGATGTTAAGAGCGCGGCTGGTATGAGCCCCCATATGTTCACGAAATGCAAATCTGAAGCAGAGATTAATTGAACGGGAAGAACTAATCAAAGCTGTCAGATTAACAGTCGCAAAACGTTACGATGACATTTCTTAGTTCTGGAAGAGAACATACAGTAATAGTGAGGTGTATCAATCCAATATAAAAACATCCAATGCACAAAAATTTGGATTGTGATCAATAGTGGCGGAGAATAGAATCGAAGAAATCACCAGAAGAGATACTATCTACCGGAACCAGTAGAACCAATAACAGAAACCAGATATGCATAATGTAAGTATGCAAGCATACTGGTCAAACCACTTTATGCAAAAAAATGACAGATAATTGCGCCTATTAGAGGGATGAAATCATGGCAATCGAGTATGTACACAGATATTACAGACCATGATTATGTTGCATCAAGACTACACATTCAATTACAAACAACGCCAGCAAATTTTGCCTATATAATCAGCTTAACCACTAGAAAAATGTTTGGCTCTGAAGTATGTGGTCGATTAAACTAAAAAGCAATGACCTATTGCATTTTCTCAGAGCAACAAAGGAGAAGCATACGCGACCTACCGAAAGCAGCAGCATTCAACTGTAATTTAAAACTTAGGCAATGAATCATTTGGGATGGATGAAGAGCAGTCGCTTACTTAGAGGCACTAAGGCTATTGGATTGACTAGGGGGCACAAAACGCACACGCAAACGCCACTAACCAATCAGAGAGGTACTAGTGCGTCAGGCCGACTGACCCAAAACGGCCACTGAGAGGCCCGTGGTTGCGGTGGAATGACCTCGTGTAGGGGCCACTGTACAAACTCTCCAGAGTGGAAAAAAAAGCCAAGATCTTGATAAACGTTTCCCCGCCCCTTCCCGTCGCGGTGAGGTCGTTAAAACGTTTGATTTACCGAGTCAAATAGATTTGGGCAAAAAGAACTGCCCACATTCCTCTTCATGCTACCAATTGGAATTAAAATACAGGATAAAAATCCATAATAACGCTCCATGAGCTTAGCAAAAAGAGATATGTGAATCACACAACTTATTGATATGAGCAAAATAACCATAACTCCACAAACTCGTCGAAAATGCACTGGGGTAATGGTATGCTACCCAAGGACTTATTAACGAGAAATGATAAGGAAAGGTGTAAACTACCTCGCTTATTGTGATGTCGGAGAGACGTGGATTCTCCTTATCAGACGCGCTCTCAATGGTCATGCAGCTCCCGGCGGGACTTGAGCCTAGAATTCGTAAAACATAAGATGTCATCAAGTAAGATACCATGGTGTAAAAGTTGGAAGATCAATCAAAGTAGCAAAGAATTCATCCCAAGGTTACTAGAATAGTAATAGTATTGTAATAGAACAATATGTAATAATATTCTTTGTCTACTTTTGGGAACTCTTCAGTCTCTGTGGTTCCAGCTGTAATATTTGTGCCATACGGTTTTGTTCCGATCATGATCAAGATACCTCCGGACGCATATAGGTTGGATTAGTACTCCACATCACAACAACTTAAACACAGGAAGGCTAAAACTTACTAGGAAAAAAAATTGGAGCGGAAGCCTCAATCCCCTACAATGAGCTTTTGAGGGGTCAACAGAATTCAACAATAGCGGATGAAAGACAATCACGAACCAAAAAATGTTTTAACAGACATTCGTTTATTCAGCGCCATAAGTCGTAGAGTTGAACGTTCAGAATCGCTGACCGTACCATGAGTAAAAATAAAGTAAATGTGAGCAACAGGGCAGATCGCTACCACTCGATCGCACTTTGCTACTAGGAGAGATGTTGTAGGTCGTCCGTTAAAATAAAAACTCCGAGACTGAACATAACACAAATTCACCAACTAAAGATGCAATTTTAATCACTGAGAAGTAGACAGAAGTGATTGTCTTACCTCGTTCATCCTCATCGACGTTGTCAAGAGAGAAACCGACGTCACCAAACATGGTACCATCAGCACCCACATGTCCGACGTGACGAAAGTCGTTCTGTGGCAGTGATATTAGGTCCCGGTTGAATTTCTTCCCCGCTCTGGGTGAATTCCGATTCGATTCTATCAGAAATAAGATGCAAACGAATGCCAAATCCAAAAGGCGCCTTTAAGCATTAAAATAACATGCCAACTGCGTGGTTAGATAAATAAAGTTAGGCGGATAGATGAAAGAAAAATAAAAACTGAACTTTATCACCAGGGAAAAATAATTGTTAGGGTGGCAAAGCATATCAATGTAATCAGTCAAGAAGTGAGTGATTAGGAATTCTGAAGGCAAATTACATTCCAATGGCTATTTCTTGGCAATGGATAGGAGGATGGTTAGTCATCAGTTAAAAAGGCGCTGGGTCAGCAAAATATTAAAAAGGAATTAAGGGTAAAGTAGGAATAAAAAAAAGACAAGGAATTAACTCGCTGCATTGCACAAGAATTTGAAACAGATTACAATGAATCCGCTCTTGCAAACAGGATGGACTTACAGCAATCAGTAACAAAAAGCAAAAAACATTTTGCACAACCAAGAGTAAATGAAAAAGAAAACTGAAAACACAAACAATCATGTCTTATAATGACCATGGATAAGAAATTAGACATCGGGGGGGGGGGGGGGAGTGGAAAAGTTGCAAAAAAAACAACTCCGATTTGGGGTGTTTTGAAACGCAAAGTTATGTAGGCATCATCTCTGCTAGAAAACAGTGAAGTTAACGGTTAAAACGGCGAAAAAGAACTGCAAACTTGCCTGCTGCAATGGGAATCCAACTGAAAACGTAGTGAGTCATGAATGCGACCAGATATGCACATATGCATAAAAGCAGTTTAAATGGCTTGCAATGCTTTCTTTTTTTATAAAATCGTAATCACGAATGGCGAAACGTGTGTGCTTTTCCGGATAACAATTAAAGCATTCCGATTTTGGGCATCGATTGGCCGAAGGCATGTTTGCTTAGGGGAAATGGCACTCCCAGTCAGAGCTAAGTGGGGAGCGCAAAAGGCCAGT